CTATACTTTAAATTTGAATCTCAAATTTCTGGCGTCCGATGGGTCTGGACGTACAGCTTAGCCAACTTTTGTCGCTGTTGTTTTTAAATGTGCCACATTTGATATAGTGTTTATAAGTCATATGTATCTCGTTTATTCTGTATATTTTCATAAAATATCTTAGACTCATATACGAGATAAATATCAATATAGATAGAGCGATATAAATGAAAATGCTTAGATAAATAAGTAAATAGATAGATATGAAAACGCTTAGATAGACATACATACATACGTATATACAGATAGATATACACATATTTATGAAAACGCTTAAATGCATATGAAACAGATATGAAAAACGCTTTGATTTATATATAGAGATAGATAGAAAATAGATAGCTATGGATATTCTAATATATATATATATATATATATATATATATATATATATATAGAGATAGAGAGAGAGAGAGAGAGAGAGAGAGACAGAGAGAGAGACAGAGAGATAGATACTTATGAAAACGCTTAGATAGATACATATGAACCCGACTGGAATTGGTAGAAAGGCATATAGATAAATATGAAAAAGCTTTGATAAATAGATAGATATGAAAACAGATAAATAAATATGAAAACGCTTAGTTAGACAGATTTTTATGTCTGCATATATAAAAAGTAGATTATTTCCATGTATATAAGATTAACTGTAAGAAGCCTTTGCTTTTCTTCCCAGAAATATACAATTCGCATATTATTTTATGTTTTCCTGCTGCAATTGAACCATATATTTATAACAGCGAAAGTGATAGTATTTTTTTTGTATTTGTTGATAACTCCGATGTCATACAATGTGCTTTAAAAAAATTCTCCTTGAGCGCGGATTTTTATATGGTCATCTACCTAAAAGGAATAAAATGGGGGGTACTACCATCAACACTTTTTAAAAAATATCTGTTCATCCCACAATTAATGCCTAAAGCTAGAAAAAAAAAGTTAAAAATGTAAAATTGTTTAATTAGAGTTTATTTATTAACACAGGTTCAATCATTATAAATAACTTTATTTCCAATGATTCACAAGCTTTTAAATATTGTTCGTTTTTTGTAAAACTCTTTGGTTTGAAAGAAAAACATCTCATCTTATGTTTTAAGAATTTTTCTCTCAAAATGATTTCGTGGATTCGAGAAAAAATGGGTAAGTGGGTGGAGAATAAGGAAGTCATAAAGTCTTTTAGTTTCGAAGAAAAGGCATCTCTTCTTATGAAGAATTTTTCTATCAAAATGATGTCGTGAATTAGAGAAAAAATTGATAAATGGGTGGAGAATAAGAATTATATAAAAGTCTTTTAGTTTGGAAGAAATTGCTGTAGAAAGGATAATTTTCATTTTTTCCTAGGATTTAAGAATTTGTCTATCAAGATTTATTAACTTTTTGTTTTTAAATGGGTAATCCGGCATAAATTTTTGCTTAACCGGGCTGCTACAACAAGCAAACATTTTGTTTGTAAAGACCACTTCATGAAACAGTAAAATTTCTTTTTCTGATTCGGTTTTATATTTTATCAACAATCTATCTAGTTTTTAAATAATTATCGCTGTTTATCACCCACTCATAAACTTTGCCAATTTATTTCTGTTGCGCCCCGATACGACAATTTTCAAATTTGAATTTATTCTTTAAGGCAAGATGGCCGACACTCAACAGATTGCAGCAACACAATCTTCATAACTCCTTAAAGAAAGAGGTCTTCTTCAGTTTTGGGGACTTAAGTAATATTTACACTTTCTGATTACCTGTATCTGTGTATATATGCATCTGTGTGTTTGTATGTGAGAACACATTTATGTCTGTGACTTTTTGTCATTGTCTAATTTATATAATCGTAATCGAGACGGACGTGTGTCTATAAGGTATTTGCATCCCTACAGATTGATAAATGTACCACCAAACTCGTTTATTCATGACATGGACGATCATTACTCTCCACGACTTCCTTCCATTTGTAACTCTTAATAATTTCCTTCTTATCACAATCCCCGTTTTGCCATTCATTTGCACAAGCTTATTAGGTAGGTTATATGCTGTTTCTGTTGACTACAATATACCCCGAGAGTGTCAAATTTTCTGGCCGTTCTTTCCTCATTAAGAGGGTCTTTCGAAAAGTTCTCACCAAGAATAAAGAGCCATAGCTGAACACTTTTTTTTTTATAAAACTAGGTGAAAGTGAGAGGTATGCAACAAATCTAAAAGTGGACACAAAAAAAGGCCCGAGCAGTCACAAAGCATCTGCATGAGGAAGGTTTGACATACAAGAAAATCCATGAAGACATGGTAAAGACACTTGCCGAGGAGCCCTCCCCCACCTTTTTATGCAACTGTGAAGAAGTGGGATGCTGAATTTAAGCTAGGCAAAGGGCAGAACTGATGATGACCCTCGGCCAGATCGTTCAAAAAACTCAACCACTGATAAACAAGTTGGTACCATTCACTGTATGGTTTTGGGTGACTGATGCCCAGT